GGACCGTGCCGAGCCCGGGGATGCCGGGCGCGGGCTGAGGGGATCCCGGCGCCCTCCGATCCCAGCTACTTTGGCTCACGCACCGGGACGCCCTATGCCCGGGTCACCTGTGGCCTGAGAGCCCCAGACCCACCAGACCCTTCTCGCCCAGGCCCCACCCGGCGCCTGGCGGGGGTTGGGGGACATTTTTCCTGCCCCCGGTCAGGGAGCGCAGAGGCCCCGCCCCTCCCACCGCCCAGATGTCTCCCGGGGCGGCTCTGAGGACCTCTCTGAGGCCAGGGGCCGAAGGGTCCAGAGAGAGAAGCCCGCCCTAGGGAGCCTGGGGGGCCCCCCAACCTCATCTTGGGGCTTGGCCCCCACGATACTCGGAAGGCAGGCCGGTGCCCCCACCCTCGGTGAGTCCGGGGGTTCTAAGGGAAGGCTGGGCTGGGAAAGGGAGGGTCTGCTGGGAACGAGGGCACCCTGGGGGCACTACGAGGGAGGACAGAAGACTGGAGAGACCCTCTGGTGAACCTCTAGGGCAAGGCCTGGCTGGGGAGGGGTGTTTGGGGGGACCTGGTGCTCAGTGCCCCATCGCAGGCTGAGGACTTCTGCCTCTAAAGCGGGGGCTCCCTCTTCTTCTTCCCAAAGAGGGGCTGTGCTGTAGACCATCTGCCTCCACCACCCCTCCCCACAAAGAAAAACATTAAATCCCCAGCGAGGAAGGGTGCCCGGCTGTGGAGAGGATGGAGGCAGCAGCATTGCCGGCTGGTGCTGCAGCCTGGGAGGGCTGATGCCAGACTTCTTTCTGCAGGGGTCTGCTCTCCTCCGTCCAGCTCCCTTCCCAGAGCTGTCCACATCTGGAGCCCCCTCCACATCTGGAAGACCCCAGCCACAGTCCTTCTGCAGGTGTCACTTGCAACCAGAGACCTCTGCCTTTGCAACTGCCCAAGAGTCGTGAGGGGATTGTGCTGCCTTCCCCAATCCCAAGGGCATCTCTTACCCTTAGTCCCTGCAGAGTCATCCCCCTGCTTCTGTGTCCAGGCTCATCCAGACATCAGCCCAGCACACCTATAGGCACTTCAAGTCCTGAAGGGCTCCTGAGATCCAAGACCCCTCCCCTGCCCTTCTATGTCCTCATCTTGACCCCTTGTTTCAGATTCTGTCTCCTTCTGGGTGTCCCATTCCCCATCCAGAGGCAAAGGAGGCGGGGTGGCAGGAGTCAGGGGCTGGGTGAGGGCCACCCAGGGCCAGCGTGGGCTGGGGGGCCGTTAAGATGTGGAGCTCTGCCTGGCTGAGGGGGGCTCTGTGGAGGCAGACGCAGTGTGTGCCTGGCTGGGGGGAGTATGGGCAGGCCTGCAGCCACGTGGTGAAGGATGAACATTCGGGGCACCCCGGACCTCGGGCAGCCCAGTGACGACCCCAGCAGTGGTGGCGAACGTGAGCGGATTCGACAGCGCATGAAGATGGTCATCGGGCAGCTGGAGGGCATCCTACGAGAGCTCAAGGAGGTGGCCAAGGAGCTCAGGGAGGTGAGTGAGGGGCCAGACGGACCCTAAACCAGTTTTCCTGGGCCTGGCACAAAAACATACTCTGGCATGTATGTTTCTGTGTGTGTGTGTGTGTGCCCAAAGCTGTGTGCATGTGTGCCACTCTGCTGGGTACCTCCATCTTGTTCTCCTTTCCCCAAGTCTGCTCTGCTAAAAATCTTACAATAGCCCAGGGCAGGGCGGGTCTCAGTGTTGCAGAGAGCATTTGGACAGCATGTAATGGGCCCATGGCTCTGTGGTTACGACTCGGCTGCCAAGATGGCCAATAAGGACTGAGTTCCACAATAACCTCTTCTGGAGCCTAAGCTGACCTTTGACCCCCACCATCTGCTGGTCACAAGGGGCCCTGGGAGAGTGTAGATGGCTTAATGAGGCAGTCCCCACTGCTTGGAGCATTCCCCAGATATTACAGAACCCTTGATCCCAAAAAAAATTAGTTCCTCCCTGCCCTGAGGTGGGAATGAGACTAGGGGGCTGCTAGTGGGTATAAGAGTCCCTGTGTACATTGGCAGGGGCAGGAATCTCCTCTACAGGGATGTATCCCCATCCCGTAGTTCTGAACATTTTTGGCCAAGATTGAAAAGTCACCCAGAGAGCCTAGGATGTGTGTCCCTCATTACTGCTTCCCACATTGCTCAGGTAATGAAGTACACATGTCCTCGGCCCTGCCCCCTGGGCTGTGTTCGAGCCTAAAATGCATGACCAGGGTTCTGAGCCACTGGCCTGAATTTTCCCACTGAGTACCATTATGCCAGCCAGGTGGGCTTTAGGCAAATTTTAACTCCTTGTAACCAGGGCCCCTGCAGAGATGGCAGGGAGAGTGATTGAATTGGAGTTATGGGTTCAGGCTCTCCCAGCCAGATGTGCAGGGAGATGGGGGCTCTAGAAAGATTGAGAAGAGGGGGTGATGGTGGATACCAACTCCAGACTGGCAAAGTGGTCTTCTAGCCTGGCCCAAGAGCCAAGGAGCAGGGGGTGTTTGAATCTTCAGAGTGGAGATTCGGGCCAGGAACTAAGGTTGGGCAGGCAGCCTCTCTGCCCAGTCAGCCTCATGGAGCCTGCCAGGAAGTCCTTCCTCAGGAGGCAGGAATGGCTGTTGCTACAGGTAGAGAGAGGTGTGGTGCGAACTGGGCTGGCCAGGATGTGGGCTGAACATCTCTGGGGAATGCAATTTAGTGGTCATTGCCTATGAGTAACTCCTCCTCCCTCAACCTCATTGTTCCGAAGGACTACCATCCCCACCTCATGCCTCCCCACCCCCCATCTATTTCATATGTTCTGTGGTTCCATCAGAGTCATGGGAACTGTCCAGAGTCTCTGTCTTGAGCAGGGGCATGGGACCTATGCCTCAGCAGGCCTACCCAGAAAGAACCAGGATGGACTCTAAGCCTGGGGGTGAGTTTTGATATAGTACAGAGCCTATTCCCAAATGACCAGCTGAGCATCTTGCAGGCATCTGTTCTTCCCATCCCCACCCCCATCCCCACTCCCACTCCCAGCAGAGCCATCCAGAGCTTGAAGGCATCACACAGGTCATCCAGACCAGCCCTATTCATTTACTGTTGAAGAAATTGAGGCCCAGAGAGGGATAGGGGCTTGATGAAGGTCACAGAGCCTACCAGGGGTACTCAGTAGAACTCAGGTCCTGATTCCCGCTCTGGGGCTTCAGCAGGTGGGCTAATGAGCAACCTCATTCCATTTTGTTAGGGACCTTCTAGACGTGAGACCTTATGCTCATTCTGTGATACTCTGAGGGGGTGCCCTTTAGGGAGTGAGGCGGGAAGATCAGAAGCATTAGGATTTACTTGCAGATCTTTGAGATAGCCTCTCCCTCTCTTCTCAGCACACACACTCACTTATTCCCATGTCCTGAACAGCAGAGCTTCAGGTTCACGGGCTGTGCAACCCAGAGGCCTGAGCCAGGACAGAGAAAGATGAGTCCCCTCCCCCCATACCCGCAATAGGCCATGTGCCTCCACCCAAGACTCTGGCAGGTTGCTATGGCAACCAGAATCTACCCCGTATGCCACCACCTGCCCACTGCCAATGGCACCCAGCTGGGAATGGGGGGGGCGGGGCAGGTCTCAGAGCTTCCCCATCTCCTAGGCAGGGTCTAGAGATGGGGTGATGGGCAGAGAGGAGTGTTGGGGAAGGCAAGTGAGGCCTACAGAGGCCCAGGCAGAAGAGGAGATGCTATTCCTAGGAGATGGGGTTTGTCAGGAATGGGGTTACCACTTAGGGGTGCCAGGTCCTGGTTTGAGATAAAGGTTTCCACTTCCCCCCCCCCCCCCCCCCCCCCCCCACCCCCACCACCAGGAACCTGTAAGCTTGGCTCTTGATCCTCCAATGGATCTGCCTGGCTCTCCTTCTCAGCCACTTTGGGTGGCATTTTTCAGTGGGGGCATGGGTAGGCCCAAGGTTGCGAGGGTTCTCTTATCACACTCCACTCTTTAGGCAGCACCAGCACAGAGTTCACCAACTGAGTTCTGGTCTCAGGAGGGTGAAGCACTTAGATGTGAAGCCAAGATTTACATCCAAGACTGCCAGAGGGCAGCGCAGGGTGCTTGATGAGGGAGGAAGGCCAGCAGAGAGGAAGGGCTTAGCTATAGCCCCTCTGCTATCCTTCTCCATCTGCTGCTCCCTTCCCCACATACCATGGATCATAGCAGAGCCTCCTCACTTCTTGAGCATCATAGAAAGATGAGAAACACTACAGCACTGCTCCCGAGGCCCCCGAGCCTCAGTCTGCTCATCTCTAAAATGGGAATGATGATAATTCACACCTCAGAGTGATCTTACAAGGATGTATTGGGGTACCAACACCTACTCATACCCCTGAAGGATTTGGCGTTCCCTCTCCCATACCTCTCCTGTTCTCCCAAACTCCTGGCTCTCCCCAAGGGATAGGGGGCAAGTTCTGTCCCATGGGTGGGAAAATAGTTTTATGGACTAAGTGAGGTGAGAAATGTAAAAGTGTCTTGAAAGCAAAAATTGTGCTGCAGAGGAGGTGACAGTCAATCATTAACTAGCCTTCATTTCTCCTAGGTCCCTAGTACTCCAGGTGCCAGGCCAATCCCAGCAGGCTCTCTAAGCTCCTCAGAATTCCGTGGATCAAAATTTGGAGAAGCAGCACAGCCTACGGGCTGAGCTTGGGCTTTGCAGCCAGATGTCTCTAGTTCACATATGTTCGCCACCACCTTCCTAGCTGTGTGAACTTAGGAAAGTTACTTTACCTCTCTGTGCTTTTGTTTTGCATCTCTAAAATGAGGATACAGAATAGTATGCCTCCTCACCCTCACCAGCTCTACGGTGGTTGTGAGGATTAAATGTGATATTATATACAATGTACTTCACACAGCAATGGGCACAAAACTAGCTCCATATCTGTTAGATATTACTGATGAACTGTTCTAGCACTAGCCTGCTCCTCAGCTCTGTGTGAGCCCTTGTTCTTTTGGAGTCACATTGGCATCTTAGCCATGATCAGGGAGGTCAGGCCCAGGGCCCTGCAGCAGGCAGTCCTACCCTCTTCTGGCGGAGGCAAGGGGTTGGTGATGGGGTTGGGAAGCAGGTCTCCAATGAGATGGCGTTTGAACAAAGACCCAAAGGAAGTGAGAATACATACAAGTCATATGGATATCTGGAAATGAGCCTCCAAGCAGGGGGAGCAGCAGGTCCTGAGGAGGAAGTGTGCTTGGCATGGTCAGGATCAGCAAGGAAGCTGATGCAGTTGGAGTGGAGGGAACTAGGAGGTGGAGAGCAGGATGCAGGGCACACAGGGCATGCAGGCCACAGTACAGAATTTGGATTTTGTCCTGTGAGAATCCCACACGTTCCCCAGGAATCTCATTGTGTTTCTGGGTGGGAATCTGCCTCCCCACTGTTCTCCCTGTTCCCTACTAATTGGGAGCCCACAAGGGCAGGGGTATAGGACCTTGTTCTTGGCCCCCCAAATGTTGAGCTTACCTTGAGTAGGTACTTGGCCTCCTCCTTGGTTACCCTCTCCCCAAGATGTCACTCAGCATGGAGCTCAAAATGTTCCTGTGTTGATCACTAGTATCCCTCACATCATCACTGGCTATTGGGTAGGATATAACTTAAGGGCACAGTTGCCCACCTTGGCCTGAACACCTCCAGAGGATGGAGGGGTGGGCAAAACCCTTTTTCAGCCTGGAGTGGCAGTGAAGACCCCCCCACCTGATTTTCTTGGGGATCAGGCCCATGCAGTTGTGCTGTCCCATCGGCAAGGTGCTGTATATGAGGTCGCCAGGAGAGCCATGGGTCATACAGCAGGAGATAAATGTGGCCTAGCCAGGAAGCAGCTGGAGCAGGAGAGGCTGGGGACCACAGAGCTGTGCCAAAGTGGGTCAGCTCCATCACCCACAGCTCAGCAAGAACTGTGCGGATTTTTTCTTTTTTTTTCTCGCCACCCTTTTCCCTTTACATTCTCCTCCTCCAGACAGATTCACGAAGCTCTGGGGCCAATTAGGCCAAATTGCAGGATGAGAGTCATGAATCACAGTCACCTCTCTCCCCCTCCCCAACGCCACAGCCCCCAGGAAGACAAATAACGTAATCACAGAATTAAAAAGTAATCAGTGGTCATAAATAATGCAGAATCCCTAGTTATATAACCAGCTGCCCAGGGAGCTAGGCGGGAGGGAAGGAGGTAGCAACTTGTCAAGAAAAGTGAGGGGCCAGAGGTGAGGGGGAGGACAGGAGATAGAGGTTGTGGAACTCCCAGTCCTCGGTCCTGACTCTAGGCAGTGATGGCGAACCTATGACACGCATGTCAGAGGTGACACGCGAACTCATTTTTTTGGTTGATTTTTCTTTGTTAAATGAAAAATCATTTAAATATATAAAATAAATATCAAAAATATAAGTCTTTGTTTTACTATGGTTGCAAATATCAAAAAATTTCTATATGTGACACGGCACCAGAGTTAAGTTAGGGTTTTTCAAAATGCTGACACGCCGAGCTCAAAAGGTTCGCCATCACTGCTCTAGGGTTTTATGGAACACATCCATGCTTTTCTTGGAGAGGCAGCTAGGGCTGGGGCAGGCAATATTGTGGTGTCCAGGACCATGGAGCATTTTCTCAGAAAAGAACCCCCCAGCAATTTTTATTAAGATGTCTCAACTCGTCTATTCATTCAATGGCTGTATTGTAAAGAGTGTACCAATCTCTGCCAAACTGGGGGTGCATGGTGGGGATGCATTTCCAGGCCCACTCCTTGTGGGGAGAAGATATCAACCACATTATAACCTATATGCTCAAAACATTGTAGCAGTGATAAATACTAGATAATATTTTAAGGAAAGGTATGAGGTGCTTTGAGAGCCTTTCATAGGAAACCTGTCCTCAATTGGGGATCAAGGAGGACTTCCATATGCAAGTGAGATAGAGTGAGTAAGAACGGTGTGAGGCTTTCGGGTGAGGCCCAGAGGCAGAAGTGAGCTCAGGGTGTAAGTGTGTAGGTGTGGTAAAGAGGCAGGCCTGGTAGGGTAGAGAGCAAAGGGCATTTAGCCACATTTGGTGTGGGGTGGTGTTTGGAGGTCCAGGAGTTTGGGGAGCACAGGGGTGCTGGAAGTAGAGGTCCTGTTGGTTTTTTGGAAAGTTCCCTGGATGCACTAGATGAGTGTGGATGCAGTTGTTCAGATGAGGGGAGCCGAAGCTGTGACCAGGACGGAGGCTGAGTCAGGACCTGGGCCCCCCGGGGGACTCTGTCTCAGCCCTCAACCCTGCCCTTCTCTCAAGTGTTCCCTCTTGAGCAGGTAATTCATGTTCTTAAAAGATCAGACCCAGGAGTCAGGACTCCTGACTTCTGGTCTCAGCTCAGCTCATTATAGTCTCAGTTTCCCTATCAGTAAACACAGTAAGAAGGATGGACTCAACAGTGTCTCCAATCCCTTCTGGCTTTGAGGTTGTAGGATTCTGTGATTTTTATGGTTTCATTTCTCTCTCCATTCCCCCTCTCCCTCTCTTTTATCCTGTGTATATAATTATTTTGCCTGTACTCTAAGACGATCTCAAGTTACATGCAGGCAAAATGATTATTAAATCGCAGGCAGAAATTACAGATTTCAAGACATCCAAACAGAGAGGCAGGTAGCATGGGGCGTGCCCCACACCTGCCCTCCCATTGGCCCCATGAAATGAGAGGCACCAAGGACAGGCTTGACCAGGCTCTGCATACAGTCTGAGTACCCTGGGCATCTCACTTCCCTTTCCGATTCTTACTTATGTCATTTATCAAGTATGTTTGACCTATCCCACCTAAAGAACTGAGCCAGATTTGCCTGTGAGCCTCAACCATTTGGCTTTTAGAACCTCTTCTGTTTCCATCTGGAAACAGCCCTACTTCATGGAACATAGGTGCCACCCAGGTGTTGGGGTTTGAAAGGCCCAACATGTCCCATTATTCTGCCACGGGTACTGGAAACGTCCCCATCAGAGTGTCATTCTTTTGGTGAAAAACGCTCCCATCAGCTCTTGGGCCTGGTGCCTGGTTACGTGTTGGCTCTCAATGGTCCATGGTGGGTATTGTTTTACATGCTTTCTGTGCATCAAGTCATTAAATAGTCACAACAACCTAACAAGTAGGTACTACTAGGATTCTCCTTGGCTGAAGATACTTACACACAGAGACATTGAGCAACCTGGCTAAGGTCATAAAGCTAGTAAGTTGTGATGCCAGGGTTGGACCCTAGGTGTGGCTCCAGAGCCCAGGTTCTTAGATGCTTGGATGTGCTGACTCTGCAGTTTAATGCACATTCATATCTATTAAATCCCCACCAACTGGGTGAGGAGAAGAGCATCATCCCACTTTACAGGGGAGGAAAATGAGACTGGAAACAGGAAAGCCACACTTGAGACTTGAATCCAGGCCTCCCTCATTTACTACCCTCCACACCCCCAAGGTGGAACCAGAGAGGGTGTTCTAAGGGAGGAGAGGAAGGGCCTGAATGTGAAAGCCACCTGAGAAGGGCCTCTTGGATGGGGGGAGTATGTTCAGGCCTGAAGGCTTCAGGAATCCTGCCCTGTGCTCCCTGGATCTTCCTCACAGGATGTTAGGAGCCCAGCTTCTGGGCCTGGCCTAGCCTCAGCCAAATCTGTGCCATGACAGCCAAGAAATTTAACTCCAGATTCCTGCTAGTGTTGCCTTCTCTTATTCAGCAGCAGACTATCAGCATCTAGCTTGCTCTGGGGAGTCTAATTGGAGGATGTGGCTGCCCAGAGGTACAAGGCCACTCCTGAAGCTAGCAATGCCCTGAGGTGCTATTCCTTCATCAGCTTAAATACCAGGTCCCTAGGTCAGTGGTTCTCAAAGTTTGTCCTCAGACCAACAGCAGCAGCACAAGGAAGCCTGTTAGATCTACACTTTCTCAAACCTTACCCAGAACCTGCAAAGTCAGAAACTCTGGAGAGTGGGCTGTTACACATTCCAGTCTGAGGCCAGGGTTCCTACCAGCCCGCAGATGTGGATTGGGTTGAGCAAGGACTTCTGGGGGATGTGACCTTCTCTGTGTTAGGGGGAGTCATTGGAGTCAGAGACATAAGAAGAGGTGGCCAGATTGGAGGGTAGAGCCCTTTGCCCATTGCCTACTCAAGCCCAGAAATCACAGTAGCACTTGGAGCAGTGTGCAGTCTTGCAGGGGTGTGGCAAAGGCAGTAATCTCAGCTTCCCCAGTGACTGGTCCCTCAGGCCCATTATCTATGATCTCAGAAGATGATGATCTCATGGATGGAAAGTCTGACACATAGTAGGTGCTCAGAGATGGGAGATAATGTCACTTTTATCGCCAATGCCCCACAGAACCCTTTCCTAGAATCACAGCGATGAAAGGAACCTTGGAGATAAACCAGTTCACCCAACTCCCCACTTACAGATTGAGAAACTGAGACCTAAGTGGGAAATTGACTGACCAGGTCACCTGCGTGGGGTCTCCTGACCCCCTAACCAAGCAGATATCCCAGTGACCCAGACTCTTCTTGACGCCTCAGTTTTGTCTTTGCTTTCTTCTTTCGCTGTGGGGCACTGCTCACCCCCACTCCTCACCAAATACCTAGCACATCCCTGGATAGCTGTGGTCCTCAGTAAAGTTTTGTTGATTAGGTAATCAATTAACTGGCAGATCTGACTCCAGGTAAGAACACCGGGAGGGGCCCTGGGCTTGGTGACTCACTGCATATGCCTTTGTCTCTGGGTCTCTTGGTTCCTCCACTTTGCTTTTGATATTTTGCTATTTTTGTTTTTGGCATGAAGACTCTCTCCTCCTCTTGATTCTCCTTTCCCTATCATCATCCCTGACTCATGTGCTGACAGTGGCCAAGGTCAGGGGATGTCCTGAGGCTGGGCTGCCTGCATGGAGTCAGAGCTTTAGTCTTCTTGGGGTGGACAGGTTGCAGTGACCTTGTAGCTGAACTGTCCCCCCTCCCATCCCAAGTGCATTTAACAGGCACCTCTGGGCCCAGGATGGATGGGTTTTTTATTGCTTACCAGATAATGCTTGTTTTATTCATTCCCCAACAAGCCAGGATTGATCTCCAGTCATCAGAGGCCAGGGAGAGGAAGGAGGGAGAAGGCTCTGGGGGGCAGAGGTGGAGTGATGGAGACCCTTGAGGGACAGTCACTGACCAGCTGCTCAGGCTGGCCCAGGATGCTTCCTCATGGTCACCTCATATCATTTTCTCACATCTCTACTAAGTAGATTTGCTGGAGTCTCTCAGCCCTCTAGTGGCCTGGTGCATGGAATTTGTGCATGGGAGGGGATGTTCCTCAGCCCCGTCTGCACCCTCTCCAGTCTGGGACTCCTTGGGGGATGTCCTGTAGGATTGGGCCTAAACCGGCAGTTGAACATCCCTTTCGCAATCTGGGACCGCTGGCTCCTACATGCTCTCCTGCCTGCCTGACTGATCGCCCCTAAACACTCTGCCTGCCGGCCTGATTGCCCCCAACTGCCCCCCCCCCTGCCGGCCTGATCGCCCCCAACTGTCCCCCCTGCCGGCCTGCTCGTCCCCAACTGCCCTCCCCTGCCAGCCTGATATTAGCATGTTACCCTTTTATTAGTATAGCCACCATGGCTTTGTCCGGAATGACGTCTGGAAGGTCTCCCAGAAGGTCTCCCGGTCTAATTAGCATGTTACCCTTTTATTAGTATAGATAGATTTCATTTTCTGATTAAATTTATTGGGTGATGCTGGTCAATAGGGTCATAGGTTTCAGATGTACATTTCTATGATACATGATCTGTATATTGCATTGTGTACCCCCACCCAAAGTCAAATCACCTTCCATTACTATATACTTGGCCCCCTTTAACCTTTACTACACTAGTCCTTTTATCTGGTAACCACCCTCTTTAAATAGCCCCTCTCAGTCATAGGAAGATCAAGCTCTGAGCACCAGAGCCTATAAACACCCCCTCCCCTGCTCCAGAACAGCAGCTGGCTATGGGGAGAGGGGTACGTGAATGGATGGTGTACAGGCTGGAAGACAGTCCCTCCTCCACCCAAGAGACTGAGGAATGGAAAACAAGCTCTGTTCACCCTGGTCCAGTTTGGGCTTCCACAGAGCAAATAAGCCTGTGACCTCAAGTCCAGTCTCCATCCTGTAGGGACATTAGCAGGGGGATGTCACGGGGTGGTGGGCGGGGGGGCACATGCTCACACCTAAGTGATGCCAGGTCCGGCCTGGCCACTCTAATGCTTCTGCCCTTCCCTGGACAGGTGGTGAGCCAGATAGATAAGTTAACCTCAGACTTCGATTTTGAACTGGAGCCAGATGACTGGACCACGGCCACTGTGAGCAGTACCTCCAGCAGCGACAAGGCTGGTGTAGGTGGCCCCTTTGACCTGGGCCACCTGGACTTCACAACAGCTGACATCCTCTCAGACAGCTGGGAGTTCTGCTCCTTCCTGGATGTCTCTACCCCTTCAGATTCCATGGACGCCGCCGAGTCAACACGACCAGGGGCTGGTTCTGACTACCGACTCATGAACGGTGGCATGCCCATTCCTAATGGGCCACGGGTGGAGACCCCAGACTCCTCCAGTGAGGAGGCCTTCAGCACCGGCCCTCTCAAGGGGCAACTGCCCCAGCGGACCCCAGGCACACGGGAGAGAGTGCGCTTCAGCGACAAAGTGCTCTACCATGCTTTGTGCTGTGATGATGAAGAGGGGGATGGTGAGGAGGCAGCGGCAGAGGAGGAGGCGGGCCTGTCCCCAGAGCCTCCCCATACAGAGGCCCATGTGGGCCCCCTCAAGACCTCCCTGGCCCCCAACAAGCCAAGGCGCTCTCCACTGACTGGCCGATGCTCAGGCCCCACCTTGGCCCCCGAGCAGACACGAAGGATCATGAGGAACAGCAGCACCCAAACGGTGTCAGACAAGAGCACGCAGACAGTGCTTCCCTACACAGCCTCCAGACAGAAAGCCAAAGGGAAAAACTAGGGGCCGGGAGGGGACTGGGGTTGGGTAGGGGGAGGTACATAGAGTTATAAATATATACACATATATATTTAAACAAACACAGTCATAATAAAATTTTAAAATGCTGAGGATCCAGCCCCACAGGCCCCAAAGCTTTCTCAGAGCTCATCTTAGGCACAGAGATGCCTACTTCCCTACTAGGTCCCAGGAAGTGTGTCTAGAACCTTCCTCCCTTCCTTCCCATTGCAGGGCTCCTGAAGGGGGTGTCCAAATGTCAAGCTGCTGGCCTGGACCATGTCCTGGAGGGATTCATCTGCAGGAGGCAGGCTCTCAAGAAGTAGTGTCCAAAGCCAGGGCTAATAGTATGATGTGGAGGAGACTGAGTGGCATCACTGAGTGGGTGGCTCCATGCTCAGCCTTGTCCTCTAGAGATCAAAGACTCATGGCAAAGCCCCAGCAAGGCCCCTAGTGCTGCTGAGATCCATGTGAGAAAACAGGCAGCAGCCACCATGGGCCAGAGATAGGCCCCTGACCTGTCAGCAGGCAGGCAGCCCCAGGAAGGAATCCAATGGCCCCGCTCTACCGCTGCCCCTCCACTCTGGGACCCTGAGTTCACTTTGGCAGGTCATGAATGACACCAACAGAAACAGATGGGAGCCTCGAGGTACCAAGGCTTCATCTGGGGCGTGGTCCATACAGAGACAGCGTCTGAATATCATTGGGATAATAATCCCAACCATTGCTCACATTTACTGAGCATATCTCCATGTTGCTACTGTGCTAAATACATTGTATAGCATAATCTAATTTAATTTTCAGAGTAACCTGACAAGACAGGAACTATTGCTATTCCCATTTTTCAAATGAGAAGACTGAGATTCAGAGAAGTTAAGTAACTGGCCCAGGGTCACAGAGCCTGTGCCCCTCCACTCCCCTTCCCCCATGAGCACATGGTTTCCAGGCTATATCTGGCTCTGCTATCTAGTAACTGTGCAATCTTGGGGAAGTCCATTTGCCTCTCTGAGCCTATCTACCTCATCTATGAAAGGGGTCTGATAATGTTTATCTACCTCACCAACTGCTGTGGGGCTTCAACAAGATGAGGACTTGGTAAATTCCAAGTCACTGGATATGTGTTGTGGTCAGTGGCACCCCAACTCAGATTCCAGTGTTTTCCAGGGTTGGGATCCCTGAGTGGGGTGGGAAAGAAACCACTGCCATCAACTGGGCCACAGCTTGATGGTCTCCACGAGCTATTGGTCTCCAATAGCTCAGAGCAGGAAGGAAGTAGTGATGGTGGTGCAAGGATATCACTGCTCAGGGCCTCCCTGATGCACATTTAATGACAGCAGAGGTTGCCAGGGACTGTCAGGAGGGTCTCTGGCTCTACACATGGGCGCCCAGGAGAGCATGGCAAAAGAGGTACTGTCCAGCTCCCAGGGGCGGGGAGACAGAGACTATGTTGGCCAGTTTGGAGCAAATGCCAGGGATGCTATCAGGATGAGACAGGCGGGCCTAGGAGGCCTGCTCTGCAGTGTTGGGGTCTCCCCTTGGGCCCTAAATAGCCAGCCAGGGTGCAGCCTCCAGAGTGGAAATACAGGGTAGTGGGTCAAGGCTAGCTGTTCCTGCCCAGACCTGAGAATAAGAGCTCTGAGCTCCTCCCTCAGTCCCAGGAAAACTCTTGGGCAGTGGTATTGATTAGTGATAGGACCCTGGCTCAAAAGATGTATGCCAGGGGCTCCCCTGAAGGATGGCCGGCTGGGTCTTCCATCTTTCCGGATGGCCTGACAGTGAAGAAGGGCAGGCCCTGCCCAGGTATGGGCACACCTAGCTTTGGGACTCATTTTTGCTCTCCAGTGGCAAGATTGTTTGTTTCACAGCTTTACAACAGTCAAGAAAAAGACATCTGCAGAGAGCACACATTTCACCAGGAAGAAACAGAGAGCCCTGTGAGGGCATTGTCCTCTCCTGGGAGACCCCACTCCACTCCCCTCTGTGTGATTTCATGTGGCCATGGCTAGCATGCACCACCTGGCTACTTGCTCCAAATGGGGCAGTAGTGTGAGGGTGTCCTGGAGGAAGGGAAAATAGATATTGAAGTGGGCATAGGTTTTCAAAGGCCTAAAAAGTACTTGGCTACCCTTATATATATGCCACAATCAGTCTGGGCCTCACTCACGGATCCCCATGGTTTTCTTATGACTTGAAAGACAGAATGTGGTCACCTATGTAAAGAACTGTGACTATCAGAGCTGGTGAACACAAAATACACTGCTTCAGAGTAATGAGCTCCCTGTCCTGGAGGCAGACACAGACATCCTGGGGACTTCTTCCAGACCTACCTGCTCCTCCAGGTAGTCTCTCACTGCTCTTCACCATCTCTTCGCCAGTTTCTGGGTTTCTTCACCCAGAATGTCCCATCAGATCTCCCTGTTTACAAGAAGTCTTATTTTGCTGACCATCTACTGTGAGTTCAGACTTGTGACAACCAGTGCTGTGGAGGGGTCATAATCATAATAGCTCATGTTCATTGAGCACCTACTATGCACTGGGCATGTCCTAAGCATATGTTTTACTGCATTTATTCCACTCAGAAAATATGAGATAAGCAATTATATTTATACCTGTTTTCCAGATGAGGAAACTGAAGCTCTGGGAAGTTAATAACTTGCCTAAGGGCACAGGATAAGTATGGCACCAGGATTGATCCCAAACTCAGTGACTTGGTACTCAAACATATGCTATAGTCATATCCCTGGTGGAGACAGTGCCCTGGTCTCTGGGGGTGTGGGAGGGGCTGGGGTCTGAGAGCCAAATGGTGGGATGTGCGTATTGGGAGCAGGAAACCTGTGAATGCCATTCATTCTTTGGAGAACTTGGCTACTATTGATGGCCCTTGACACAGAGCCTGGCACCAAATGGATTATGTATTCAATAAATGTTTGCAGAATGAATGAGCTCCATTTGCAGAGGGAGCATTCATTCAATCAGCTTTTATTGCAGGCCTCCTACGTGCCAGGTCTCATGTTGCTTGTGCACATACATACACACAACTCCCCTGGGAGGGTCTGGCCTGGTGTGGCTCAGCAGCTGGGCAAAGTCAAAACAAAGAGGTGTGGGGCTTCAGTGCTGCTAAGCCAGAGGTGGTGGTGAGTCCAGCCTGTGGTCCCTGGGAAAGAAGCCAGGAGCATGAGATAGGGGGCCGGCTTGACAAGGAGACCACTCTGGGAGTGGGAGGAGTGAGGGGAGGCCCTCAGCCTGACACCACTTTAACGAGGTGGGCACATTGCCGTGTCTCCAATGTCTGAGAAGGAGGAGACCTCATTGTCTCCATTTACAGGCAAGGGACAGACCGTGTAGTCTACAGAGGTCTGATGGGACCAAGGAGCAGAAAGGGGGACGAACTATTTGGAGACCCCAGCACCATCCTCCACCCTTAGAGACAAAGTGAGACCCTGCCAATGGAAGGGATAAGGGCCAGGGGGAGCTGGGAATTCAAGGCAGACACAGATATACACCACTACCCCTCCTAAATTCCCTTACTCTGACCCTCACCTCATCCCCTGCCGCCCTCCATCTATCGCCCATCATCCAGCTGGAACTTGTGTAAGAAAACTGACATTTATTAACCACCTAGTATATGCCAGGCACTGTGCCATGTTTTTTAGCTAACAGTAAATGACAGATTTAGTTGCACCCAGCACATAATAAGTTGTTCAGTAATTATTGAATAAATGGATGAACCAGAATCTTTATTTTACAGGTGAGGAAGCGGATGAGCTAATAAGGAATTTGTTCAAAGTTGCACACAGAAATCGGTGGAGCTGGAGATTTGGAATTGTTATTATTTATTATTTATACTTACATAAGAGCTGCTGTTTCTGGAACACGTACAATTTGATGCTTTAGGCACTTCACATAAATTATCTTACCTACTTTACAACAACCCTCCAAATAACAGACGATTACCATTTTACACATGAGAAAACAGAGACTCAGCAAGGTGTGGTACCCTGCCCCAAATAAACAGCCCCTGCGCAGAAACAAGACCTGAATCTAGGCTTCACTCTGCTTACCACACGCCTAGCTTGCAGGGCCCTAGGACCCTATCAGACATTCCAGAGCCCACATTTACCCTTGGCCAACTGAGCAGTGCTCACCAGGGCTCAGGCCTGCTCTCCTCAACTCCATGCTCAGGACCCCAGGAGCATTTGGCCCAGGTTTCTAGAACCCACCCCAGTTCCCTGTGAGTCCGGGGCACTGACTAGGCAACCAACCCACACGGCTCCGAGTCCAGTGGCCTTTCCCCTTCTCCTATCTGTGGCAGAGCCTGCAAGACTAGGCTGCCCTCAGCCCCTTTCTGGTCTGGCCCAAACTGGCTTTAGTTTGGGCTGGAATGTCTAGAAAAGGCTTCTGGGAGGATGGGGGAACTGAAATAGAATTCATTTGCGAAGGAGTAGAACTTGGGCACCTGGAAATGGGCCAAAAATGCTGGGGTGGCCACACAGGGATTATAGAGAGGCCTTGCTAAAACAGAGGGTACATGATGGGAAAGATGTGAGTGCTGCATAAGGGACTTGACAGTCCCATGGCACCTTCAGAGCCACTCCATCTTCTTGACTGTGTGAGGAGGAGTGGGGTTTTCTGTCTAGTCTGAGGCTGAGAGAATGGATTTAAGAGAGCTCAATAAATGGGGATCCACTGTAATGAATAAACAAGAACAGCACATAATTGCACATTGGTAAGTAAAATAAATATTCTAAAGCCCTTGCAAGTCATTGTATCTTACAAGTAGGTTAAACATTTCCCCTGTAGTGCATTCTCACTTGACCTCTCTTTTCCCAGAGAGGGTGAGGGCACTGGCTGCACTGTCCTGTCCCAGTTAAGCTAGCTGAGATTCTGATGAGACCTGACTGTGCCCACCTGCCTGCCCTGAATGAGACTACAGACCCAGCCACCATCACCACCCGCCTCTCCCCCTGTACCTGTCCCCAGCCACACTAGCTAAGGAGATCAAGGAGGGTGACCCCAGGCCCACTGTCCACTGTGCTTGTTCAGATGGACTCCCTGCCAGAAACGCTCAAACTCACATCCTGCCTGTGGCTCTCAGTTCCCTGTTTAGGCTGCTCCCCCTCCTGTCCCAAGTGGGTATGTTTCACATATTGTTGTCCAGCAAGGTGTCCTCCTCGCAGTCCTCTTAAAAGCACCACAGAAACCCAGTCTCCAGGTGCCAGCTCACCTGCCAAGTCACTCTACCCTTCCTGTGCTCTACCCCTAAGAAGGCAGTATAGGGTGGAGGTTACTAGAGGGGCAGCCTGAGGAGAAACTACGGAAAGAGCCCCGGAGGCCCTGATTTTTGTGAGGTTTCACTGTGGCCAGTGGTAGGGCCTTCCCAGGAGATCTCTGTAAGGATGGAAAATTTTCCCCAGAGCCAAGTAGTAGGCTACTTGTGGGAGGAGTTCTAAAGGAGGTAGCGATGGCTATGTTGACTTCGGTGAGGTGGAGAAGGGAAGAATTTCACTGGTGACCCAGCTATGGAGGTGTGGAGGGATAGGTCAGGGAAGTCCAGTGGGCACTCTGAGAACTTCTCTTGCCCAGAGATACTTCCCTAGGCCACACTGACCCTACTCACCCTCCAATTCCCTGAGCATTTCTCTTCTCATCCAGAGGTTGCAAATCGGTGGCCTGCACACGTGCTTTGCCTCCCACACATAATGTTGTTTTACTTTAAAGAGATTTCTGGTCAAGATTTTAGAATAGGTATAAATGCTGTGCTCACCTCCTTCCATGACCACATCAAAGTTGCAACGAAATTATACAACAACAACCCTTGAGAAACACCTAGTTGAACAGAAATCCTATAACTATAAAAAAGAAGCCACATGTAGACTGGTGGAAGGGGCAGAGAAGCAGAATGGGCTGGTCCCACACCCAGGAGTTGTAGTTAAGAATCGGGAGGAATATCTTGGCTGTAGAGGTCCCCCCTTGGGAGTGAGGGGTTCTAGTCCCACACCAGCCTGGACCACTTGTGCCAGAAGAGGAATTCCCACAATAGCTGGCTGTGAAAACCAGTTGGGATTCCATCCAGGTAAGATAAAGATCTGCTGTAGACTCATGTGTCTTTTTAAAGGGTTCAAGTATAAACACACTCTCTCACAAACACTCACCCTAAGTGCCAGCAAAGGGAAAGCAGCTCAAAAAGCACCGGACACATATGGAGAGGAAATGAATTATCTGGCTTCAGGGCAGCTCTCTCCCAGAAAGAAATGCTAGGCTAGCAGAAGACATTGCTCCTTTGCTGAGCTCCCCCTCCATCCAGACAGCAGGCTCAGGTGGGTGCCAAATCTGATTTACCATCAACCTGATTAACACTGTTCACCCCACCATGATGATTCCCTGAGGCCCTGTCCCACCCTACTAAGCACCAACCCCAACCTCTTTCACTACTGTCCCTCACAAGCAGCCTGCCTAGGCCCGTGCTATGGATTTTCCTAAAATCTCTCAAAGTTACACAAGCCCAAAACAATCAGCAGCTGTCCTCAGCATGCCCTGTACCTCTTTCTAAGCGACCCCAAGCCTGGCACTAGTAACAGCCAGTCTCGGTTCACAGCACAACCTCTCCCAGGTACCTCAAAGTCCAGCACAGGAAGCTACAAACTGCAGATCACTTTTTAGCTCCTACGAGTCTGGGCAAGGCAGTGGCCTGCACTGGAGCCCCTCAAAAGAGGTCCTAGAACCAATACATTCAGTGTTTTGCTTCAGATCACACCAGACCACCACACAATTAGCTCCACAAATGGCACACCCAAAGGTGGACTTGGCAGACACCAGAGCTTCACTAAAGTGAATCTTGCTCTGTGGGGTCAGCTCCTCACACAACAGCTCCTCCAATATAGACAAAGTCAGTC